GACGCTGTTTTACCGTAGCGCACTTGCTATTAGAGCGGACTTGTATTGTGAGTTCTTAGTTTGCGCTTGATGGGAGCGTTTTGGTAAAAACTTATGCATTCGGTGTTGGTTTTCATGCCTTGAAATTTTTTGAATTCTCGCCGTCTAGCCTTGTTTTTAGCGAAAATGCGCCAACGATTGTGTAAAAGTGAGAGACGTAGATCATATTTTGTCTATGCAGTACCATTTTTTTCATCCAAAATATTCTGCCCACCGAGTTTGAAGTCAATCGTGTTATTCCGAAAATGTAAAAACCTTTTGGTTTTAAGGAGATTCGTGCAGTAATTCGACCTGAGAACGTTGAAATTGTAAAATGCTCGATGATCGTGAAATAAGTCATATTCGAACAAAGAAATATTCTTGCCGTTTTGCGCTGATCATATTGTTAACCATTTACTTCTTTAAAAATGTATCACTTAAAAATTACTTAAAGAATTGTTTTTTTATTTTTATTAGGTTATTATTCACTTGCTACAGTCATTTAATATTGTCTTTGAGATCTTTATAAACAATCTTTGAAAATTATTGTCGCTTAACGAATTTTATTTTGTATAACTCAAAACATGACATAAAAGGAAAAGCGGACGATGTAGCAAAAAATTATCTTTCCAATTTCTCTCGGTAGAAGCCTGTGGTCCTTTTTCATTTTTGCATCGTCCGCTGATTACAATATCGCAAATATGCAACGAAGATCCAGATATTTTTGGATTGATGCATAGAGAATTGCATTCCGAAACATTCCCACTTTTCCAATGACGAGTGTCTCACATTTTTCTCGTAATAATAAAAATCACGATGATCTAAAATGTTTATTTTTTTTATTCTGTTTAGATCTTCTCTCAATAATTACCTTTTACTTTAAAATAGACTCTTTCAGCTACGTGCATATTAGTTTATTCAATAGGTTAGCGTATTCAAATACTGGAAAGAATTTGATCATTTCAATCAATTCGTTTATTGACGAATTTGCATTCGTGCCGTTCTTAGATCGGCTATCAGAAGTTGTTGAACTCCAACTAGATGAGAATCATCTAAAAAAAACTCATAATGACATCATGTTCATAAAAATTTTTTTGTTAAACTGACCTGAAAACTGGCAAAGTTTTTTGTGTGTTTTCAAACACATTTTTCTTTATATAGTCCTCTTTTGGGGACACAGTCTTCTTTGATTTCAATCTCCTAAAATATGACAAATAGTTGCTTAAACAGATTACTTACATTTTATAATTCAAAATTTGACATTAGCACAAGTTAACTGCGAACAATGAATTTAAAATAGAACATTTAATTAATTTTTTTTTTGTTAAAATGTTATAATTTTTTACCAATATTGAATGTGACTTACCCCTCTTTAACAGGGGAGGGTGATTGTCTTCACACTCGCTAAAAAAGGGCCCTCCTAAAATGAAAATTAATGAAAATTTGAATGTTAAATAAATTTTAAAGCATACCTTTATTTAACGGGTGGCAAGAGCCACCCCACCATCCACAGACCGGAATAAGTATTAGTTTAACAAAAAACTCCGAGCGTTCTTGACAGAGAACGAGGAAACGCAGACATGCATACGGAGAAACAGTGCTGCACCGATTGAGAGTGCTAGAGAAAGAAATGTGACAAAAGCGCAATCATCCCAACGGCTCGAGTAGACTCGATCGGAGATTTTTTTGATTTGCAGTGGTTGTTGATCGATATTTGATGAACACTGATACTAGTGGAAAAATGAAATCAACATGTACTTCTTTAAAGTGTTTTTATAAGAGAAAGATGGAAAATGTTGCTAATATTTGTAGTTTTAAATGTCGTTTCCAGTCAACATCCGTTTCATAATATTGTAGTTTTCGATCTATTGATCAGGATTAATAGGATGTTCAACGTGTATCAGTGCAAAAAGAAGTAGAATACACCAAATGAAAGCATTTGTTGTCGCGGATTTGAAACATTTCTGATTGTCAGAATAAAAATGCTTCTCTTATATATAATTCGATTGCGATAACTACAAATTTAAACATTTTTAAAGCGATTCTGCGATGGAAAAAAAATAATAATAAATTTTACTGAATTTTTCATTTGGTGAATTGCAATAATCGTCACATACATATCGTTTTCATTGCAAAAAAAATACTTGATTAAACCGGATCTAAAACCCAACAGGATAGTTTTCAGTAGATAAGATCAATTTAGGTATTTTGCAATCAGTATATATCTTTTCATACTCTCACACTGCAAAACAGTATGTCTCTGTATGTACGTCTGCGATTCCAGGAGGTTGGCCGATACCTGCTACTCTCTACCACATTAAAAAAATCACCAAATCGGCACGTCAGGTTCGTTTGTTTTTAAATCTATTTAAATTTATAAACATTGCCACTATGTTCGAATAGCTCACAAATGATTTTTGCATTATAAGGAAATGTATTGACAAATTTCCCGATGCCTATTCATTTCAACTTCCAAAACTTTTTTTGCAGATGGGTGCTGCGATAAGCCCTTGACGAATATTCACGTCGTTTAGAATTGTAAGTGAATATTTGTTCATTTGATAAATATTTAAATTTTTTTAGCCGGATGAAGAATATAAGAAAGCTGTGTCACCGAAAAGGAGCGACATAGTGAGCATATGCTCAATTAAAAATATATTTATATTCAATCAATACATAGTATAATATCTTGCATAGTAATGGTGAGTCAAAAACAACTGAAATATTATTTTCATTCTTTCTTATAAAAATTAGTAGGTATGTGATTGAAAAAACCGATTCAGTGAATTTTTCAGTATCGGTATGGAATTTTTTATTCCAGATAGGCTTTTGAGCATAAGTCTGGAATTGTTTTATTTAAAACTACCGGTAATTCTTAAAAAACAAATCTCAATAATTAACAAGAAATATTTTAGAGCTGCTTCAATCGCAATAGAACAATAAGCCAATATTTGTCATCATCTCACTCATTCAAAAAATTTTTATTTTAATGGTATACGATATCTATATAATAGTTAATAAAAGTATAAACTTTTCAGTGTCTACATGGTTAATCACGTATCCAAAGAGAAGAGATGAAACGACCCTTTGTATCTACAATAACAATACAAATATATCCCAAATTTTATGATATATTGTAGAATTTTTTTGATTTTGCATCAAATTCTCGAGAGTTATAAAATCTCATCAGCGTATCGTTTTCTGCCAAATGTAAAAAAGGTGGTTTCGAATATATTTCTTAATAGTATTAAAAACGATTGCTGATATTTCCGTTATTTTCTAATCTATTGTTATTTCGTTTCTTTTTTTTTGTAAATTTTCAAGTCAAATAAATGTTGCCTTTAATAACACAATTGATCGTTCTGAAACACTTTTAGAATGTTTAAAAAATCTCGGATTCTTCATTGCAACATCAGGGCATAATCCTTGAGACAATACAACTGTACTTCAATCGAGTATGCGGACATACAAACGACTCTAAAATGAAATAAATCATAGACGGAAAACAATTATTGAGCATCCTATCGAGCTTTTAGACTTTTTTAAAAATCATTTTTATGCGATATTATAATCTTGCCTATCTATTTTTACTACTTCTCAATTCCTTAAAAAATGTTATATTTGATTAATACAAACATTTTGTAAAGTAGCACTATTTTTATTCGGTGTGTTTTGATCATATATGGTGTCCGCAACCTCTTTGCCTTTGGGATGGTCCCGTACCATTGCGAATCTCCGCCCGCTAGCAAGTATTGCCTCATTTTCGCTTGCTGTGGTAGGTCGCAGCTGTCTTCATTGAGGTTTTATCCTAACACGTTTATTTCTGATTTTTTTTCATTCACCCATTTTCGTTTATTTTCGCACCTTTCACACACACATCCTGAATAATTTAGACTTCTGTAGAAAAATCCAAGTTCTTTTCATATTCATATTTACTTTCTATCTACAGTTCGCCTCCGAATGAACGTGTGATATTTTATATTAATTCACCGATGACATTGTATTTCGATTAAGAGTCTTCATTGCATTGCTTAATTCTTTTTAAAAACGATTCCAGATAACTGGAAATTTCATTAATCATCTAACAAGAACAAAATGATATTTTCTAGTTATCAAATACAATCAATATTTTTGATTATATTTTGATTACAAATTGAGGACGTGCGGCGACATCCCATCGGCAACGCATCCTGCACACGCGTGCCCGCGGTGTCTGCAATCTCTCTATCTATGGGATGGTCCCGTACCATTGTGAGTCTCGCCCGCTGGCAATCATTCTTTCATTTTTTGTTTGTAGTGGCCGGTCGCAACTATCCTCATATGGATTTTTAAATCGCTTATAACTCATTCATTTATTTTGTCTTGCTTGTCTTCATTTTATTAATTTCAGAGCTCCAGTAATATGGAAATAAATGAGCACTTCCGTTCATCACAGATACCATCAAGTAGTCGTGCCCCACCCCAAGGAATGATTCGCACATTGCCGAATTTTCACCGTGAAACAGCGGGTACTAAATATTTATTAATGTGTTAACCAATTGTGCTTCACCAATTATTTCAGACTCGAATAGAGCTTGTCCAAACAGAAAAACTCGTAAAATACGTCGAAGAAAAAAAATCGTTCAACCAAATAGTACAAGCCCAATCAATGTAGATTTTAATTCATTTTATGAACTGCAGATTTGTGTCAACCAAACGAGTCATATCAAACTGAGGATTCAGCCACTGGTTCTCGCCTGTTTGTTGAATCTGAAAATTCAGCCACTGGTTCTCGAATATTTGTTGAAACTGAGAATTCAGCCACTGGTACCCGCCTGTTTGTTGAAACTGAAAATTCTACTACTGGTTCTCGCCTGGTTGTACAATCTGAAAATTCTTCTACTGGTCCTCGCCTGTTTATTCAAACCGAGAATTCTGCAAATGGTTCTGGCCTGTTTTTTGACTTTCCGGTTTTTACTGATCGGACCACCCAAGCTGCGCCGATGTTGACTGAGAACAACCGACTACGTTAGTTTCAACTAATGAAACAGAAAATCGAGTTCTTAGAATCGATTTATTAAATTTCAGATTGGTACGGTCTGCCGGTGTCAACCTCGCAACCAATAGAGAATCGAGATGTTCTCACGCAAGCAAATTCTACGGATGCTTTCCGTCCTTCACAGCAGGTTTCGAGCAGTAGAAACGTCGCTACAGGTCAGTAAATTATTGCAGAATTCAAATTATTGAACAAATCTATTTAAATATTTCAGATTTGCAAGTTCAAACAACATTTGATTCATTTCCTGCGGATCATCGAGACGCTTTCCATCCTTCATGTGATCTCGCGAGCAGCAGCACAAACACTAAAGGTAGTTCATATTTAACGTTTTCAAATGTTCAATCTAATTAACATTTATTAAAATTTTAGCTTTTCTGGTTCCGCCATCATTTGTTCCAGTTCCTGTAGTTTACGGTGATGTTCTCATGCAAGCTAATTCTTCAGATGCTTACCGTCCTTCACAGAAGCTTGTGAGCAGCAGCTTTGAGACTACAGGTTAGTTAATTTTTAAACATATCAATCTTAAAACCAAATCAAATTTACTGAAAATTTCAGTTTCACCAGCTCAATCAGCATCTTTTTCATCTCCAAAAGAAAATGATGATGACGTTATTTTGGATTGTGTTGTTCTCCGTCCGCAGAATGTCCGTCCTAATCAGCAGTCCGTGGCATCTCGGAACCAGCCACATAGTCTGCTCTATTTATCTTCTTTTTTTTTAATGAAATTTCAAATTTTCAGACAAAAATAATGTTGTGCCGGAGGCGTCAAATGAATTGCACGAGCTTGCCGTATATACATCATCACTACGAAAAGAACCTATCGGTGATGAAATAATGAATGAGGAGTCGGCATCGATTTCACCTCCACAAGAAATTAGTGATGACGTTATTTTCGACCGTGTTGTTCTCCGACCGCAGAATGTCCATCCTCATCAGCAGTCCGTGGAATCTCGGATCCAGCCACTCAGTCTGCTCTATTTATCTTCTTTATTTTAATGAAATTTTAAATTTTCAGAGAAAAGTAATGTTGTGCCGGAAGCGTCAAATGAATTGTACGAACTAGCCACTTATGCATCAACGCTACCAACTGAACCTAACGGTGATGCAAGTATGGATGAGGAGTCAGAAGAGGACCTATTAAGAATTCTTCAAGAAGCGTGCTTTGAGAACGGCAAAAACGATGGTATGCGTCAAGAATTTTATATGTTTACGTATTTCTTAGTTTTTAAGGTCTCCACAACATCAACATTTATGAAGAAGTTGGAAGATGTTGGGGTTTTAAGCATATCACTGAGTCTCATACCGAGACCGCGGAACTTGTAGTTCGTTCTCAGGAACCTGCTCAGGAAAAAACTCAGTCGACTGGTAAACAAAATGAATTTTATATTTGAAAATTAATTTTCAGACATCAATTCTGACGCCGTGAACTCGAATAAGCAAGGTTCAACCACTACAATTGTTCCTGATAAATTGAATTCTGGTTCCAATCGCTCACCAATTGGAAAAGGAAGAAGAAGGAGACGAGCTCGTCAAACTATTCAGTTTGAGGAAATACCTATTATTTCGCAGCCATCTGTTCCCCCAAAGCTTCCAGAAAGAAGAACCCGCCAACAAGTCGAGCGTTACGTATCAGAAGACTGGAAAGGTGAATAAAAACACTATTTTATTTGTGTTATTCAGACAGTTGCACAATTTGAAAGAATGTTAAAATTATCATTTTCAGCTATTAGAGGGACTATTCGACCCCGACGAAATCGGATTTCAAGGACTGAAGAACCATCAGTTCCATCGCTGCATCAGATAAACTCTTTTGATGAGAACCAAGCTGGTAAGAATTTTTAATTTATTAAAAGTTTTTTCAATAAGTTTTTTTTTTCAGTTGCCAGTCATGTTCCACAGAATGACTCTATTGTTAGTCATCTCGTTTCAGAGAACTCGGCGGTTTCGAAGAAAAACGGGGATTTGCAACCCGAACAAGACCTAACTTTGGAGTCCTGTAGGAATAAATTCTTTTTTCTTGAGAACGATTTTTGTTATAGCTGAAGATGGAACAGTTGATGATCCTCAACCAATGGTTGCTCATCCTGAACGTCCAGCCCCGAAAACTGGAAAGCAATTGCAAGCATTAAAACGGAGAAATCGTTCAGTCGACAGCAACGGCAGCAAAGATTTGAAAAGTAAGCAGGCACTTACGTATTTTCAGAACAGCTATTTTTCAGCAGTGCCATTGAAGAAACGTCGAGAAATTATTGATGATGTCAATCAAAACGAGAACGCCTTGCAAGGTAAATAAAAAAATTTTGTTCAAAATCTCTAGAATTCTATAAAATCATATTTTTTCCAGCTTCGACGTTGAATGCTTGCGAAGTGATCAACTAAATGATAAATCTCCTATCTTTGGAGACCTTAATAACACTGATGTTTTATAGTAATCAATAGGGCTTTTTTTTTACTAATTTACCATTTTAGCCAAAAAACATTGTATCAATACCCAACAATTAATCATTAGTTTTTTTACGCAATTTGTCATTCAAATCATCGTGTACCATTCCCAGTTACTAATGTGCCATTTTGAACATTTTCAGTTATCGGTTTTTTTCATGTGATACCCAATCCCTGTTCAGCTTTTATTTTTTGTTTATTTTTGTTTATCCTGTTTTTGACCCTTGAAGGCATTTTTTGTGTCCTCTCCTTTCTGAACAGGGAAACTAGTTTTAGTCTGATTTATACTTTTCTTCTATACTCATCCTCTCTTTTCGTGTTCATTTTTGTTGTCACAACAAACGCTGCTTTTTTTTTAGAAACTTTTAGAGATTTTGACAGCAACATAAAATAATAAATTACTTTATGAAATTTTTGTTTAATATTAACTGTGATTTTCTGAGTGAGGGATCTGAAAAAAAATCACCAGCACTGAAATTCGGCTAATAGTAATAGTGTCGTGTCAATTGCAAAAAGGCTCACCCATAATTGTATCATATATGCAAAAGCCTCTAGATTCTCGCATACGATTTAACTATCAAATTTTACAGTTTTGCAAACAGTGTTCACTATTGGGAGCTTCGAACTCACACATTTTCAGAGAGACTCTACTTTCGAATATGCAGTGTACTTCCGCATATGAGAACTTATAGGACAATGTTTCAAGAGTATCCATTAACAATAATTATGACGTCACCAATAATTTGCTCGCTTTTTTTTTGAGTTTCCAATTCTATTTTTGTTTTTGATTCGAGTAATCATGATTCAATTATTTAAAACCGTTTCAAACGGTTCACCTGAAGGCTCTGAATATGTTTCTTAAATATTCAAATGATTATTTATACTGAAAAACATTTAATAGATTTTTCCCATAAAAAATTTAAACATTAATGAATCTTATTTATTGGCCAATTAAATTTTATGTTATTGACATTTAATGACCGTTTCACTGCTATATAAATGACCAGTGTTTTTCGCTTTGTCACAATGTTCCAATTGCTGTTTTAATGCTTTCATATTGTTGTTATTAACGATTTACTCCTACTCCATATCAAATCGATTGGAATGGTTGAAAAGGTAATCTTTGTGATTCGCTGGTTCAATTATAACAAAATTATCAATTTTAAAATTATCAGATGCACAAAATATTCCGAATCCTGAATTTCAATTAAACCGTAATTGCTATAATTTTCAGAAGTGGTTGGTTCCGACTAATTTCAGCAAATGCTGAAAAAATTGTGGTACCGTTGAAATAAATCAGCTGGTGAATTTGCCTATTGCGCAGCTTCAGATTGCGCTCCATCCAAGTTTGAGGTTTGCATGAAATTTCTTGAGGGTTATAAATTATATGCCATAATTAAAATTTAAAATTTTCAATGTCATTTCGTTCAGATTTCTTTATTAGTATTAATACAATAATTCACTGATGAAAAACAATTTCAGAAATACAGACTTGGTCAACTATTTAGTTGTTGTTCGTCAATGGACTTACTATTATGCATATAACGAATATATGATGAAAAAAAATTGTGGTACATTATTGTACAAAGCAATTTAGTCGTCTTTAGCAGATGAGCACACGGATTTCTCCGTCTCTAGTTTTGTCGAGGATTTGTATATTTCGCGCGACAAACTGTGCTTTCGACAATCTTCGACAGACATTTTTTGTTATAATTACATTATTTTTTTACTATAAATTTAAATATTTATTATGGCTGTATTTGTATTATTATATCTATATTAAAAATTGGAATATTGAAAAATGATGTGTTGGTAATCAGCAATCTTTAGTCTACCAATGCGAGCTGCTATGACGCTCCATTTGCTATGCAGCGTGTAAGTGACTGTTAGCCAATCAACAACAAGAATTATGTTTTTTTTTCCCGCCAACGTCAGTTCTTTGTCATTCTTTTTACAAAGTGACCGTCAGCCAATCACCAGCAAGGCTTAAAAATTTTCCAGACTAACCTTGATTCTTGACTATTTTCTTTACAGATAATTTTCACATTCACATCTTATTTTTCAATTTAAATGATGAACGCAACGATTGGAAATATATATTGCTCATCCGAAGTTAAAAAAACATTTCGTTTTATTTAGGAAATTTTAATTTTCAGTCATCGCAGTATGATCAACATTCAAGCTCTATTATTATTCAAATACCGGTATTACACAGTTGGGTAAGATAAAAATGCACAATTTTAAATTTCCCTTTTTTTTTTTAATTATAATTCAGAATATTCAGATTCACAGACGGAATACTCCTTTTGACATTTATAAATTTGAAGATGTTCCAGGTATTAAAATTAATAATAACTATCAACCCGACTTCTGTGATATTGCAAGTGTTAGTTTTCTTTTTTGAAAAACAAGCAACGATAATTATTAATATTGCAGTTTGAGGCAAACAACGTTGAGGGATTTATAGATTTCCAAAAGTTTCTGTACTGCAGGCAAATAATGAAGTATGTACTTGGAGGAGAAAAAGCGCGGGTGAAAGGCGAAGCTTCTCAAGTTAATTCTCTCAAGCAACTGTTAAAGCTGCTTTGGGAAATCCAGAGTTTTTCCGAGAACTCATTACCTGGAGTCAGCCAAGTAATTCAAACAATTATTCTATGATCATGAAATTTTTAAAGAATCCCGATCTCTTTAATTGTTGCTCGTGCTGTTTCCAATTTGTCGTTGTGAAATGTCGGCAACTGTCCATTATTCCTCCTACAAAACAACAATTGGGACCTTGGTCTTCGCATAACCTTCATTTGATTCAGAATGGGATCAAGAGAACTATGTATGTCGTTCTTATATTAATATAATTTGTTAATAAGTTTTTTTTTAAATTTGCAGATGTCCTTTCCTCAGACTTCATTATTGCTTGAATTGTGGCGCAAGCGGATTCGACGCCCACACAAAAGCATACTGTCCACGAAGATTTTGTAATGGAGTACTTAATAATACCGTCGCCTAATAATTTTATTTTTTTTCTGTTAATTGAGCTTTTTTATCTTGTATATTTTTGCATTTTTCTTATGTCGAATATTTCTTGTACGCCAACGAGTATTGATAGGCAAATCTTAATTTATTACTATCCGATGTGAGTTCATTGCTCAGTTCCCTGATTTTTCGAATTTGTTGTCAAATAGTTTTATTTTTGTGTGTAAAATAAATGGGAATCTGTTTCTTATTAGTGTTCTGAATTCGATTTAATGTTTAATCCGGCGCATAAATCTTGATAGGTGGCATGAAATGCGGCAAGTCCCTCAAACTAGCGGACATTTTTATGACCCCCGGTGAATAAAAATGCGTGTTTATTGGCACACTTTGGCAGTTTTGCACAAAAAAATTTCGAAACTAACGTTTAAACAAACTGCAAATATTTAAACATACTATTTAGAGATGCGGCCACCACCAAGAACTTGGCATGCGTTTCAAGCGGAATTTTGGCACAGACAAGCAAATAGAATCATGCTCCCGATATAACTCCGATGGCACAGAGACATGTTCACTGTCAAGTGGACTGGGTGCATTTTAAATTTGCAGGTTTTTCACTGTTTAATATTGACTCCGCTGCGAACCCGAGAGTTTTTTTGCGATGTTCTAAGCGAAATACAGTAAATAAACATAAAAGGGCGACGGGCATTGCAATAGTGAATCATCAAATGTCTATAACAAAAATTAAGAAAAAAATGATGTGCATTGATAGCCAATTCGTAAAAATTTCTAAAAAAATTTTCATACATTGGAAATTTTTTTTGGACTTGAAAGAAAAAATTAAATAAGAATTGTGCAAAAAATATTTCTAAAATAGTTATTTTTTCGTATCCAGTTTCAAGATTAGTTTCATAATTGAACGAATATTTTTATTATTCGCCAATTTACGAGTTTCTTCAATAACATCAAAATAATTAAGCGTTTATTGTCTTCAAATTATTCATTAATTTTGAAAAGAAATATTGAGTAACTTTCAATGAGTTTTTATTAACATTTTAAAAACAATGAATCTATGGCGCGTCGTCCTGGTTACCGGCCAGATAAATCATCATTAAAAAATTCATTGTTCGCCAAATTTCGTCGAAGCAGTTTCAACAATCAGTAGAGAATAGTGTGCGGTCTACCTCAGGAAATAGGATTTCTGTAGAAATGGAAGCGACAATTGATCCATATATTTGCGACGAATATTGTATTCGATCGGTACGTTTTTAATATTTTTTTCAGGCTTGTCGTTTTGGCCGAGGAATTTTATATTTTACGAAAATTAAAACAAAAAAAAAACGGCTGACGCCAACCGCGACGCATACGCAACGCGGCCGATTTACAGCCGACTATGCGCGCGCAAAAAGAAACCAAAACTTGTTAACCCAACTAGATTAATCAATTGATAGCACGTTGGAAAGATGTCTGCTTATTCGAGTCTTATGAAAATTCTCAATGTTACAGGGACTTCCGCTGAATAGGAAGAAACATTACGTAAATATAAGCAATTTTTGAAATCTTTTAGTAAATTTATAGAAAAATCGCGCGTCGTATTTAAAATTACATTTTTTTTTCCAAAAAATGTATTAAATAATAGGGAACAAACTCTTCAATTGGTCAAAAAACCATATCATGGTTTCAAAATTTAATTTTCTAGGCAATTAATGTGCTCAGGAAAAAAGAATTCTGAAATTATTAATGATAGTGGGGAGTTTCAATTTTGCGGTTTTTTAATTTAAATATATTGCTCAAATTTTGCTCAACAATATCGTTAGTTTACTTTTTCTTCGGAATTTTTTTAGAAAATAGTTTGGGATTTGCAATAGTTTTCTAATGTATGTTTTGATTTTGTCAAAATTCTGTTAAGACATTGAACAGATCCTTCTTTGAACCGTAATTAATTAAAATAAATTCAAATTAATTTTGACGTACTTCTGACGTATCAAAAATGTTACCTTGGCAACCGCTATAATCATTAAAAAAAAAATAGATACTCGTATAATTTATTTCTCTTATTTACAATTAAAATGACCCAAATTACTGACGCCTCGTTTCGCCAGTTTCTCAATTGAGTAAAGTAAAGTTGTTATAAAATTCAATTTCTTATTGTTTTTATTGGATAAGAAACTTTTGAAAACATCCCAAAGAAAAACTGTCGCTCGAGCCAGACGGTATTTTTGTTTTTATCAATTGATTACCGTGGGAATCCCGTCTCCAACATCTCTATTAAAGGAAATATTCATTCTATTCATTTCAAAGAATATTATTAGCCTCGACGTCTCAAATTTCCATTTGCACTTTTAAATTGTAAAAGAATATTTTTGATAAGTTCACATATTTTCATTTCTACCATTGATAACTTCATAATATACGCGTGGATTATTTTGAAGCCTTTTCAAGGTTAGTTTTTAGAATAAAAAAAATATGGTATGATAGTTTTCTAAAATTTGAAATTATTTAATTGTGGAATATGCTGATTATTGTGTTTAATTTTGTGTAAAGTCCCGCGCGAAACAAATACAAAAATTGTGGCGAAAATGTCACTAGTTTTCGTTTTCAAAAACATATTAAAATACTGCTGACCTAAGTGGTTATTCTTTTATTCATGTTTTCCCACAAATAAATTTTCTAGACTAAGTCTTAATAAAATTAAATATTGTTTCAAAGTCCTATGAACGTGGGAAAATCTGTTTGGAAAGAAAACTAACAATCAAGCGTTTCAATAAACTTGTAACAAAAGCTCATATTTATTCTCTGTTGCTTATCTAATATCATGCGGAATTTTCCGATTTATGTGCAGGCGAGTTGCGCAACTTCTTTTTTGAAAAATAACATCTCATGGCAACAGTTGTTGTGGAATGATGAAGCACGTGTCGCCAGGTTAAAAATGACAGTCAGTTTTTTTCCAATGAAAGATGGTTCTTTAAAACAAGAGGAAAGACCAATTCAAATGTTTGAAGTGTGTATTGTATAACAATCGCGTCCCAATCGGATCAAACATTACGCGGAAAAGACTGCAGCGTACAATCAAAAGGGGGTTTTCGAAAGTGCAGCTGGTATGCACCCGCGCGACTGGAAAAAAATCATTCCGCGCGGAAAACTAACTCAGCACGGCTTGTGCGCGAAAAAATGATACACGAACGGCAAAAGTTTGAAGTAATCCGGTCGCCGCGCGGGTTACTTGCACACACCATTCAAAATCAGTTTCCATTCGGTATATCAAAAAAATTTTTTTCGTTCTTTTCCCCTTACAATTTTGCTCTCAAATTTTCTTGTCGCATATCAGTATCTCGATTTCAATTGAATTCGTTTGCTGGTGACAAATGTTTTGAGAGCGCTCCAAATTTTCTCCAGCATCAATACGGAAAATTTTTTTCGATTATTAAAAACGCCTTGGTGTGATCATGAAAACGGTCATATGAGCTGAGCCTCTATCATTGTGTTTTATTCTGACTGTATTTTGTGGCTATCATGAACTATTTTAACTGTAAAGTTACTGGCGTTGATGATGAAAAGTGCAATTACTATGTGAGTATCGAATTTTTTGTTTATCGGTATAGCGCAGCCAAGATCGACATAAGATCGTAGAAGGGAGTTTCAATAACGATAACGAGTATCCTTTAACTTTCAAAGTAATTCCTTGCTGCGAAGTCTAAAAGCCCAATTTCTATTCCAGAAATTTATGTATTGCAAATATTAACTTCGAGAAAGCTCTTGAAAGCAAGAAAACAATTAAGTATTATAGTAAAATTATATTTCATGGTTTTCTTTTATTAAAAATATAAAGATCTAATTAAAAGCTAATAAATTATCCAGATGTTTCGCTATTCGTCCATGGCCGTGAAAATCGTCACCGGCGTTAAATAAACAAACTAAGAAGAAATTGAAATCATTAAAATTGATAGTATATGTCACCCAAAAATGCCTTATTGCTTTACTTTATGATGAAAATGATCTATTCGATAATTAAAAGTTTTTCTGCGTATAAAATTAAATAGAAATTGAGAGATGCTTATCAGTTTTGTAGGCACATTGGTTGGTTCTAGGAATTCTAAGTAGAATAACTCGATTAGCTTTTTTGATAAAATATTAAGTAGGCATGAATTAAACAGTAAGGCTTCTACTTGTCAAAATGTATTATAATCTAATTCTCAAAATCGAAGCATAATGAAATTAGCTAGTAATATTGTATATTTTTGGAAATCGGGTCATAAAATTATTATCTTCAATTTACAACCACACAGCATCAGACAATTTAGTGATAAATGTTTCTTGTATTATTAACATAGCGGCATTTTCTCTCGTTTTCCCAAATTTTCACTATCGTAAATTTCGCGATTTTCAGCAAAAATTGAGTTACGGTGACAAGATGAGCGAGCCGAAAGATTATACTTATCAGGTGTATAGTTTAAAACAAAAAATTCAATAGACCTCAGACCGAAAAGCATTTCCAGTAGCAATTTTAGTAGTGGGAATTTTATCAATGCAAAGCATTATGTTTGATAATACATTTTTTTCTAAAAAAAAATGTAGAGAGTTTTGATAGCGCAACACAGTAGTTATATTGTAAAAATTACGGTTGAGTCAAAATTTATTTTGCGACTTATGAATGATTTGAATCTCGCAAAAAGTCATTCATGAATACATGACGAGAAATAATTTCAAGATAAACCCCTTGGAACATTCAAGGGATTTTTTCGAGTCACTCCCTCGCATATTTTTTATCGCAAAGTCAGCTGTTAACCCTTGGAATGCGTGAGAAATTAAAAAGCGAGAAATTGTTGGAAATCTTGGTTGGTTTTTTCTCCTGATCGCGACACCTGTTGAGCAAGAATCAAAAAACTGAAAGATAAAACATGCCAGACAGACATATATTCAATCTAAGGATTTGTGTCGAAAATGTAGAAAAATAAATCTGGTGAAAAAGAAAACTGGAAAAAAGATTGTAACAAAAGAAACCTTAATTTCAGATGCTCATTGGGCTTGCCGTTATAGGTAGCGTTATTGTGGTTTTATGCGTCACACATGTGACTGGACGCCACTTATTCACTTACGCTCTACAACACAATATTTTCAATATTCGGGAGAGAAAGTGTGCCATCCAACATCTAGCCAACCTCAATATTGCTTTCTAGGTTCTTCCAACCACCAGAGCTTAGAGCCAGACATGAACGGGTCGCTAGAAAATTGGAAGCCACCTTCAAGGTGAGTATAAATTGTTGATCATCCTACAGTGGAACACTGCTGTTCTGAAACAGGTTACTTTCCCTATATTCAGAACAGAGTTCCTCTATATTTGCACATTACAAATAAACAAAATCGTTTGAATATGGCTGTGATTCACGAATTACGAAAAAAGATGACAAGAATGTTGCTTATGTTGTTAGGGAATATTTACCTCAAAAAAAGGCATATTGATTAATTGATTGATTACACGATCTAAATGCATTGTAACAAATTTCTTTTTTCTTTCAACTTGATAAAAACAAGCAATCTTAAATGAATTTGCAGTCCTTCCGTTAAGTAAAGAAAATGCCAACCTCTAAAAACATCCTAGTTTCATAATTTAATGACAATTTTGTTTGTCGTTTCCTATTTTACTGATAAGAGCAACATTCGTAGATAGCGGGTGCATAAATATGCATCGATAACAATTATCGAAGTATTTGGAAAACAATTTTGATAACCTCAATTTTCTCGGGTGATGCTTTCTTCTTTTCGACACCTTTATTTTTCGTATGGATGGCGAGCTGGTGTTGTCTTGTCTTAGAACACAGTCGTTCATACACCGACAAATATATGATGGACAAATGACATAGAACTGATGAAGACAAACAAACACTAAATAAATTTAATTAGAAACCTTTGGGTACAAATTGTTCCTCCCCACATTGTTCGAAATTCTAAAAGACAGCAGAGCACGAGAAAAATGATGTCGCTCTAACGAAATTGATATGCTCATTAATTTAAGGGCCACAATGCGGATCGAATGGCGCCGGCTCATCCGATATTCGTGAACGCTGTCCCGGAAGATGGTGAGCAACATTTGCATCTGGCAAACATTTTTTGCTGCACATATGGCATCAATAAACCCAATTTTTTTTTCAGAAAGATTCCCACACGGAAATGAATGTCCAGTGTTTCAAGTTGCAGTAAACGGAGAAGTACGTTTTGTTATTTATTTTGTCTAATGAAACATTCTAAAAAGATGGAAAATGATATTTCTAAACTCTGAAGAAAAGTACCATTTAGATTTTCAATCCCTGTATTGTTTGCCATATGCACCCTAGTTCAATGAACCACAATACATCTGACCGAATCTTCCGATTCATCCTCTTCCCATCCATCTCTCTAGGAGATTTGAATTTTCCTCGAAAACAACAACAACAACAGCAGCAGGGCCGAAAAAAAATGAGCGGCCAACAAAAAAATGAATGCCGATTCCCGCCGAACGGCCTTCGCCCGAAAAATTTGCCCAGCCGTTGGTCAGCTGACTGACCAATTATCTACTGAGTTATGTGTTTGTTGTTGACATGTTCCGTGGTTTTTTTGCAATTCGAATTGAAAGAGATGAATCGGAAAAGTTGGCGATGGAATATTAATGCGCTGGGCAATAAAATGTATAAATATTAATAATGTAATAGATTGTTTAATATGATCGGCAGAGTGAACGAAGTAAGCCTTCGTCACATTTTGTGCTCTAAGAAAATATGGACATTTTTAATAATAAAGAAACGTGAAGACACTTGGTTATATTAATTAAGCCGGCGGAAAAAACGGTAATTAATTATTATTGAGAACGACGAGCTCGAGCTTCTAATCCAAAAATGAGAAATTTTGAGTAGATATTTGAATGTTCAGTGACCCTCTTCCCCATTCATCAACACGATTAAAAAGGCACTAATTTTTGATTAGTCGCAACATTTCCATTCTTTGCTTTCCCAATTTTCGCCCTTTTTCAATGTTTTGGCAATCTCGTTCGTCGGTCATCAACCACCACAGAAACTTCTCCCCCCCCCCACTGTTCAGAGCAAAACAATCCCGACGGTAGGCATTGTTTTCGCAAGCTTTGAACTTTAATCTGCGAAAAGTACTCATTTCATATAAACACTTGCAAAAAACGGAGAGCCGGTGAAACTCGCATTGAGGGAAATGAAAGAGTAGTTCGAAAAAAGTAGAAAAATTATTAGGCATTGATGGAAAAAATTTGCTGTGAAATATTTATGCGAAAGTCCTCCGCCAATAGCATTAAATTTTATTCTACTTAAATTTTTCTCGGTGTCGAAATACGGCTGGCTCCCGCTAGCAATTATCGCGATATTAGGGAAGTTGAAAAAAAAACCTTATCAGCCTAAACATTTGAACATTTGACTGCTGATTTTTCTTTTTTTGCAATTTTGAGTAACCCAATTCCCTTCTGTAAAGCGGCCTCCCCCAAAAACCCTACAAAACAAACTTTGTATTGTGTTATGTGGAGCGTGAGATGACGAAAGTTGAGAAAAAAATTGGCTGACTCTTTTTCTACAGTAACTATGAAATGCTCAATTCTCTTCTTTCTCAATGTAAACATCATATTTCTAAATTAAACTCACTTTTCATTTTTTTTGAGATTTTAATAATTGACGTATTCATAAATGAGGACACCTAATTGTTTCCGCTTTTTATGTGGGTACCGAAGGTTGACATTCCCATAGGAAATTGGGCTTCTCGACGACGTGATATTCATTAGAGGACTCTGGTGTTGTTGAATAAAATGCAAATAAAATCATAATTTGTTCTGAGAATAAGTTGTTCAGTGAACATCGAATCATTCTTGATTCAGCAAATAAATAATATTAGTTTTTATATATCTTTGGAAACATTAAATCAACATAATTTAATCCCTCAAACGATACTAGGTTCTGCCATTTCCAACACAAAAGAACACATATATGGCCAATAAATTTTCAATGGGGGTTCAATGTGAATGATAGTCTATAGAAAAAGAAGATAGTGAGCATGATTTTCTCACTGTTTATAGTTCATTTCGACATTGTTCACGCAATAAGCCTTTGGTTTATGGGTTTGCACTTTACCTAAAATACAACGCCTGGTCACGTCAAAAAACCTTCCCACCAGATTGCTCTGAGAATTCATTGGCAACCTTTGTCTGACCTATATTTGCATACGTGGCTTCGTTTTCTGAATCACTCCTCAGAGTCCAATGTTTCTTTTTCCACCATTGATGACTAATATCCGTCATCAGCTACAAAAAGTTGTGTGTGTGAAGAAGAATGCGAAACATATACGTCATAATTTGTTATAATGCAACTTTCTCCGGAAGTTGATATCTGATTATGAAAAGTCCTATGAAGACAATAAAACCCGCCGAAGATTCACAACAATGACATCACTTTACTTGACCACCAATTATTTTTCTCGTATTATAATTGATGTCACGACATCTGTCGAGTGACCATCCTATCCGTTTTCGGCACGATGGGTGTTCCATGCGAAAGCCGCGTGATAACTCGGAAATGAGTCATGAAGTGGGATACGCAATGCGTTGATAATGGTAGTGTTCTTCCCGATTAAGTCATGTGCCGACACAAATTTGGGAGGAGGGGGGGGGGGGTGTCTGCCTGCCGAAGACCTTGGAAATCGCTTTTGTCGATTTCAATCAAAAACTAATTGAAAACACCTGATTTTGGGATAAACAAAGCAGTTAAGATTATTCGAGATGAATCGGGATTGTTTTTGTGGTCAGCGATGTTGTTTTCCTTATTTGAGAAATGGGCCAGGATTGTGAATATTGCAAAATTTTGCTGAGATTATTGGAATTTAAAAATATTTTTGCAACTAACGGTGTCTAAATTTTTTTTGATAAATATCTGATAAACAATTGTTGATCTCCATTTTTGAGTACTGTAGAATAAATTTCTGAAGTCTTTATATTATTTCCTCGATTCGTTTATCATTTCAATTTTATTTGAAACCAAAAATTATTTTAAAAAAGTAATCGGTTTGATAAGTGCGATCTCGCTGAATACAATTTTAAATCGGATTAGAACTAGCAGTAAAATTTCGCTATCTCAAACGCTGAAATTGTATAAATTCGACTGATAATGATTATAAAAGCAACAAAATCGTTTCTTTTCTAATTTTCATTTTTTTTCAGATTTTAGACCCGGAGCTTCTAATTGCCACTTGTGCACCGGAATACGACAGCCTTTCTGGTAAGAATTTTATCACTTTTTGTCATTAATTTATGATCATATGCAATAAGCAATTTCATTTGTTAAAAAAAAAGAAGATATGTCTAGACATCGCGGCGTCAATAAATGATATATCAGTCATTTGATATCATTACTCTTTGAAAGTTCAAAAACTGAAAAAACGCTAAAACATCATGTTTGGGTGATCACAATATAAAGGCGTCGTTTCTGCGGAACTACGGATTTGCAAACTTTTTTCGTTTTATCAATTCAGTGCGGAAGGTTAAATTGAATTAAGAAACTGGAGGTCTTCTCGAGATACCTTGTTTTAGTTTCTGCAAATTCAATGCATTTAATGGGGACTGATAAGAGGCCAAAAAAAACGAATTAGCCAAGCTTGTTGGTAGGCGATTCTCTAGAGGATTCTGAGTGCAACTTCTGGTAATCCAAGAATGTCGTGGAATTTTCCCAAATCATGCAATCTTTTAGTTAGATGGTATCAGCGAGAAACTCGCGTTCTCTTATTATTGTTTTTACACGGCGCTTTTGAATCGGCGCGTCGGCGAGAGGTAGGGTCGTGTGATTTTTTCGCAATCAGCCGTTCCGACCCCCCCCCACTCAGCGACACCCGTTTTGACCGTTGAACCTTCTCGCGTTGTTGCGCGCTGCGATGGCGACGGCGCCCAACCCATTTCCACAAAAACTCTCATCGCGGCACGTTCTCACTTGGCCGACGCCCGCGCGCTCGCTCGTCAACATAAATAAGTCCCCGCCTCCCTCCCATGTCTAATCGGGCCCGCCCTCCCATCAGTTTTTGTGTTAGTGCGATGGGAGGGCGAGCCGTTTGCTCTTGAACTCCACCCCCCCCCTATCAACAAACTTCTTTATAAACCATCGCCGACATAGAGTTCTTGCCACAGTTCCATCCCAGAGAGCGGGGGAGGGGAGGGGGGAGGATGGATGCTCCATGCTCCCTCTGGCAATGTTCGCAACTTCTCTACTTCTCGCTAAAAAAATGCTTTCCCACGTGGTTTAATGGAGGTGGTTGTTGCCGAAAAAAAGCGCTCACTTTCAACGCCCCGCCGCGACATTTTCGCGGACCATCTCTACCACTACCCACTTTTCCTTCTGTCTTTCCCAATCTCCATTTCATTTCCCAGTTGGTTCGTTGTTGTGTTTTTTTTTTCGTACGGCCGCCCAGGCGCCGTTTGGAGACCAATCAGCATCCTCCCCCTTTTTTTGTGCTTCTTGCCCACAACAAAAAGCAGCATAAAAAAGTGTGGGGCTGGGGTAGAGAGAATGGGAAAAGCAGGGAGTCCACACATGTTCGACCCCCACTCCAGTTGTCATTTATTTCCTTCTTCTTTTTTTGTGTATTTGTTGCAGCTTCACAGATTTTTTTTCAGCTTTTGATAGCGGTTTTTTTTGCAGATACAATGCTGTCTACTGATTACTTCCGCAACAATGTGCAACCACTTGGAGTCAACAACTCCTTAAATATGCAAAGTGTAAGGAAAATGCTAATTTGAGCTCTTTTTGAATAATATATTTCAGAACGCATCATCCGATTCATCGATGCAAAACTCATTTGGAAGCGGCTTCTACAGATCGGAAGGTTGGTTTTTTTTCTCGACAAACAATTTAGAAAGCGAAATACAAAAATTGGGGGTCAAACTTCTTAGAATTGGTTTTTTCGGTTTGAGTTGATAAGATTACAAAGAAAAATCGGCGACACTTTTAAAATTGAAAATTTCGCTTTTCATGGTCATTTCCTATCTAACCTGGGTGGTTTAATGGAACAGAAAAAAACGCATCAAATCAGTCACGTGACCTTCAACTTAGTGATACCATTAAAACTTTCAGATCATGTTCCGGTTGATAGACCACTTTTTGTGAACACCTCAATGTCGGCTTCGCAGCGTTCGGACCTCTACCGCCGCCTCAGCGACCTACCGAAGGATGACCAACCGGCTCTCGCGTTCTCGGGATTTCGTCATTTCTAGAATCCGCGTCTACAATGATAGCCGTCTACTGACAACGCTCCTCACTTTATTCCTGTTATTTCATCCATTCCTTGCTCCACTACCCATTTCTTGTTTTCTTTAATATTTTGTTTAAGTTTAATGACCAGCGAGTACTTGATTATGCCAGATACTTGTAAATACCAAATACTGATTTGCGGTTTTGCGTAGAATCATTCTGACAAACGGATTCAATAGCTTCGAAATTTTCAATTCCGTTATTCACTAAAGGAAATGTTGATATGATCAATTTTGTTGTTAAATTACAATCCAGGTCCCTTGAAACTTTTAATGAAATAATCTCTCATGTATATAATGCCAGCTTTCCCTAAATCCAAACTTTATTCCAATTTTGAAAATTAGCATGATTCATAATCATAACCCGGTTAGAATTATACGTTACACCCTGTAGTTAAATCGCTAATTTGCTTCACATGTTCTTAATACCTTACTGGTCGTTGATAATGATAATAATGAGCTCGATAGTAATAATCATTCACCGCTTAATTTTTGAATCTAAAAAATGTTAAATGTGTTTGTCGAATAAAGTTTAAAACTGATTATTTTGATCCCCAATGTCGATAAAGTATGTCGTTGGGGATACAGTGTAATTTAAAAAAAACTCGAACGGAAAACCAATAAATCAAAAGGATGATTATTTGGATTGTTCTAAAAATCATCTGACCATAATTATCCCAGAAAACTTTCAAGCGTAGGCGGTCAGCTATGGGAAAAATATTGTTGTTGTCAACATGGGCAAAAATGGTTGGAAATAATGTTTTAACCTACCATTCTAATTATTTCTTGGTAATCTCAGCTCTAAGAGCAGTTTGAACTATTCTAGATGATACATTGTATCTATTATGGTACTTCTAATTAATTCCAATTATAAGACATTGGATCAAAGAAGGCGGCGAATTTGCAATTCAGTAGACGTGGCACACTTTTCGGCATACTATTTAGTGATGACATCATAATGAGGGAGACCTCCCGCGCCGATAAGTGTTGACCCCGTCGGGTCAGCGAAAGAGGTCAGTTGAACGGAGCAGAGCAGCAGGGCCGAACGCCAATGACGTCATGTTTAATCTCCAGAATCTTCTGGTCACCTGCACATTCTTGATCCCGCACGGTTTACTTTGCTTGGGGTCAACGCGAATTAACAACAACGCGGGAAGGAAAAAAATGGGAGAACATGTGATCGAAGCGTTCACGAGCCGATTTTTTGTTGCCGCAAATTTGACGTGTTTTTCTACGGAGTTTGTCGTTGAAAACAAACAGTGGCGAGAAACCAAACAAAAATATATAAACATATTACCGCAAATTTTTAAGACAAGTTAGTTGCAAATAAATGATCAATAAAATGACCGTTTTTTCAAAGAAAAACTTTGGGGTTTTTAGCTTTTTCTGAATTTTTGCAGATTTTTACTTGAAAAAATAAAAAAATCGGAAAAATTTGTTTAGGCATATAAAAATTATCTATAAATTATAGCTTAGAATGGATAATCGATTGTGGTTGAGCTTTAATTTCTCACATAACTTTCTAAAACACACAATATTTATTTGCATTTGTTATCTCATAAACAATATTCAGTTTTCAATTATTCATTTGTTTCGATTTATAAAATATTTCATCTATCGATCAAAAACCTCGAGATTTTAAAATCTTTAACATAAACAGATTTCAATTCCCATGTGATCAAATACAAAAGAATGGGTGGTCTAGATAATAACTTAGATGAATTGCGTATATTTTGAAAGTTTGCTTTGAAATTTACAAAAGGGTAAGAGCTTATTGAAAATTGTTCAGATTATGACTAAAAATCAAAATTTAAAGTGAAAAGTAATAATTTTCCAGAATCTGAATTATTCAGAGCCATTCCGTGCCAATCAACTGAGAGAAATAAATATTTGCAACATATTTTTCTCGCATTACTTGACGACATTGACTAACTTAACATACAAAAAACATCTCTTTCATATTATAGGGTCCCAAAAGAGCCATAAACTGCTTCAAGACGTTTCTTCTATACATATAAGACCCAACCAAAAAAAGTCCAAAAATTTATGGACCGAAACCCATACATTTACAAAAATTCTCCGAGATTTGCCCACTGATCAAATAAAAATATTATTATTATTGGGTGTCATGTTACTATTTACCGAGTACCATTATAAATTTTCATTCGATATTTCAGTGATCAGTAGCCTGAAAAAGAACGCAAACAGCAGACAAATTTGAGTGGTGGAAAATGGAAAGCAAAAAAATTTTCGGTGCTCACTGCTCCACTCTGTCATATGGTTTGTTTGCGTGCGAAGTAACGCATCTCGTGAACTCCGTTCGGAATTTGTGTTCCTGTAAACAACGCGTATCTTAACAAACGGTACTGTCGGCAATTCAAAATTTCCAAAATCTCTTGGCAAATATTTGAAATTATTGGAAAAAATTTCAATTATTCGCGTGCGGTATCTCAAAATATTAGTTTATCTCAAAAAATCGTCAAAATCCAGAGGACCAAAATAAATAATTTATCAAATTTCGTAAAATATTGAGATACTACCCGAATGAAGTCAAATAAATTCAACAAGGAATACGCAAATCAAATTCAAAATTATTTTAAATCATTTTATTCCAACAGCTGAAATTTATATTTGAATTAGCGCCCGAGAAAAAACTATGATGCTCCATAAATACATAGTTTTAGTTTTTTTTGCAATCTTAATATTTTGTGATTTTCAACAATACTTTGACAAGTGTATTAAATTTAAATATTCGTTATAAGGACTTTATTCAATCGTTTACTTTTTAAAACATAATAAACAATTCAACGCTTTAAATTCAGTGGTAATAATTTCCCTCTGTCTTCTTTGACCAAAAATTCCATGTTCACCAAAAATTGACGATTTTAAAATGCATCTTTCATATATTCGAATTGATTCTGAAAATTAGGCTACTATTTAGTTTAATTAAAAATATTTATTTACCTACATAAATTTTTCATTTCACTGGCTGTTGAGCCGTGTTCCAGGCAAAAAAAAACCGAACGATCGTTTCGCTTTTTTTTCCGCGGAGAAGTCGAACATTGAGATCGGTTAGGGATCCGAGCAGCAAGGTAAGGTCTGTTTCTCAGGGGACGTGGCTTTTTGAGCAGTTTTGAGATATATGACCATCAAATTACAATAATAATGAAGAAATTCAGACACACGTCGTAAATCGTTCATTTATAATTTCTCGGATAGGGATCCGAGCAGCAATTGATTGTAATTCTAGAACTTTTTGCGCGCCTAAATTGTTGAATTGCTAGATTTGATAGGCAGATAATATTAAATATACCTTGCTGAATTTTAATGAAAGTGACTAACTTTCACGAAAAAAAACCATTCAAGCTCTCTCAGAATAGTGCTGGTAAGAAGATTCAAGAAATACCTAAAGGAAAGTATTATATGTGAAAAATATCGTATTTACTACATTAAGGTCATCCTCAAAGATTAAAAAAATGTATGTAAAAATCCAAGCGGCACGAATGGATAAGATGTTTGCTATTGAATTCTTCGAGCAGAAACTATTTGCACTAGTGAATTGACTATCGCCAACGTGACGAAAATATGCTGTAATTACAGGAATTCAAGACAGACGTCTCCTGTTAAGGATGCAGAGTCTGAAATGAATACTTTAAAATAAAATCGCCCATTGTTCTATACTTTAAATTTCATTGCATTGTGCGGTCTTGTAGACGAACAAAAAGAGATTCGATGCAGTTGATATTTTAAGCTACATCTCGCCCCAGATCTGAAATTGCAAGTTACCATGAATTGATCAGAATTAAATCAAAATATTACCTTTTACAGCTGTAGAGCTACAAAATATGTGATGATATGATTCAATGGGCACAATATTCCACTTTTATACACGAAAAATTCCCATTATTTGGCAATGAAATAAATAATAATGGGCTAATAAAATTGCATTCGATGACTATGTTATCAGTCAATTTTACAAAGTTCCAGCAAAAAAACAATCATAAATTTATGGTGGCAGCGGGAAATGGAAGGTCGCTTGGTTTCAACCGTCCTTATGTAAAACGGAGATATTTAATCGAATTAGGAATAATCGAATGATTAGGTGAATTTGAATACGATTGTTTTAAAAAAAACTTGGGTTCTTTTTATATTCCTCTTTGGTCGAATTATTTGAAGGCGATAGTTAGCGAGAGAATTGCAATGTATTCAAATTTATGGAGAATTTTTAGTTCATTGGGGTCATCAAATCGAAATGAAATTCTAAAATATTCTATTATTACTATTAATCTGACATAAAATTTCGCACTTTGTTCTAAGCAGTTACTCCGCAGTTGTGAATATCTAATCACTGATATTGAGCACAAAAGAAGCTATCAAAATCTGTAGAATTGAAGAAATCATTTGTTTTTTTTTAAAGATTACTATGTACACCAGTATGTTCGTTAAGTTTGACAATGTTTAATTTTGGAAATGTATCAGTTCAATGAATCATTTTGATTATAATTTTTTTTTGAAAATATACAATGTTTTCTATATAACGTTTTTAGTTCATATATTGTCTAAAAGCCTACTCAATTTACGATTTTTCTTTGAAGTTCCACTTAATTCTTCGCTTTTTCCATGAATAATGGTGATTTTATCCTTATTTTGGTCCGGAAACTGAATGAACTAATTTTTGACTGTAAAAATAGGAATAAATTTGAAAAAAACTCCGTAAATCTACCAAATGGCGTTTGTGTCTCGTAGCGTAAATGTACAATAGAGCGCACTTGCTATAATTAAATGACCAAATTGCACAGGGAAGGCTTCGAAATTTTTTTATTTCCTCTATGTTTCGAAACGGAATGCTATTCAAAATTCTCCAAAATTGCTCAAATTTTTAGCCAAACATGCTGAATATTATGATAATGTCAGAACCGAATAAGAAATAAGTTCTTCTCTGAAAAATTAAAGTATTTCTTCAAGGAAGATTAATTTTTTGATGTTTCAGTCTATACTTTTGCAGCTTAAAAATCGAAATCTCGATGAAATTTATTTAATTATATTAAAACTGTCCGCAACTGCGTTGAAAATAAAAATAAATAACCACAGTATGCGAAAACGCATAAATTTTTCAAAATTACTTTAGAATGTATCTTGTGGGATGTCACAAAAATTGAAAAAAATGCTGGATAAATTTAACCCTAAACAAAATTAAGGGTGAGGCTGGAATTGGAATTCTACTTATCATGTGTATGAAAAGTTATAATGGTTTCTTGGGTATAGTATATTTTGAGATAAATATTCTAGGATGAATCTGACTGATGAACTTGCAGCTAGTGTTGTTGATTTTAGAACATATCAGTTAAACCGTGCGCGAAGGAAATACTCCACACTCCAATCCATTTGCCATCCTGGGCCAGTCTGAATCGGCAACTCTGGTGAGACACTGTCCACAGCCCACCAGATGATTTACAGTAAATTCACAAGTATTACAAGTACAAGTATGAATTAAAATTTATAGACGCTCAAATGCTTCAATTTTTTATCAATGAAGCAAGAACTTTTATGAGTTATTTAATAGACTACCACGAGAAGCAATTCTCATTTATTAAATTTATCTGTCCGCGATAGATAAACGTCGAATAAGTTATTGAAACAAGATATTGTAATGCAAAATTATAAGAATGCATTTTGATTTTTCTGAAGAGGTGCAAAGTCAAATCTCGTGAAATTCGTAAACTTCCATTTCCATGCTATGAGGCCTGTCACCAGAACTGAAAAGTCTTTCATAGATCCTCATGTAAATAGCCTGAAACCTTGAAGAGCAATTGGAAACAGAACGCATAGGAAGTACATTGTTTTCTTCATAGATGTACTTCTTATATACTTCTGCGACGAGCTGGTTGAACGCAACTTCGCTGTGATTGTTCACAAATTTCAAAATGAAGATTCCATCTAGCAAAAAATAATTATAATTAATTATTTTTTAATCAAAATTTTTACCTCGTCCAAGGAAATTTTTGAAGCTTTTCAGCTCGTCGTCGGATACTGAATCAAACATCTACAATTTTCTAAAAATTACAAACAACTATTTTATTTTGAGTCTACCAATTCCAGCTGTCTGGTAATGCTGGTGAATTTGTAGGCGTGTATGAAATTGAAGTAAATATCCACAATAATCAATATCGCACTTGCAAAGAGCACCAAACTGAAAAAAAACTGTGAAAAGGGCAATATTTTTGCAAAATCTTACCAAAGTGCGATGAACAATTTATAATTGAGATTGTTCAATTTCATAACGCAAGGTAGCAATTTCTTGGTAGCTTTATTTATACTTTTAATCCATCTCATGCAACGGACTTCGCGTGAGAAAACGGCTTTGGGTTCAACATCGTAGCCAGTGAGACCCTCGAGAAAATATTCGAAAAACTTTGGATGTCCAAAAATGAAGCAAAAAATGCCACAAATATAGAAGCAGGTGATACAAAACGAGAGGAACTTGAGCAAAATGAAACATGAAAAAACCCTTAGATGAAATTTTAGATAATGGTAAAAATATGTGTTACGTACCCTAGACGTTTTTTTGGTTTTAATAATCGTTCAACCAACAGAACCACCAATTTGTTGATTTTTATTGTACGCTCTAGTGGGCTCATATTCGAAAAGTTTTTTGCCGAACTGCTGAAGTAATTCACCGGGATGTCTAAAAAAATAATAATCAGACAATTTTATTATGAATTTCTGAAAAACTTACTTATATGCATTTGTAAGATATGCCACAAAATCATCGGAATTAGAAGAGAAATGGCAATCACAAATACAAACACGTAGACCCATCTGTACTCCTCAATGCTCACTGAGCGAATTTCAAACCGGTTAAGGAAGCGCCCATCAGAACTTAGACTGGCTAGAAGACATTCTTTGTTTTCCATAGGTTCCGTATTGTAAGGGCACGCAACTGCGTCGTCCTGTTTCATGATCATTTTGAGCAAAGCTGCCAAGGAAAGCAAGAACAACGGAGTGAAATACCAGTTGAAAATGGCAAGTTCATTTTCAATAAGAGTGAATGGAAAATACTTCTGAATTTTTTTAATATAATATCGCATCACCTAAAAATATACATTTTGAAACACGTGTTAAAGAATGGTAGATATTTTAAATATAAAAGAAAAGAAAAATACAGCTTACGTTAGAAGTTTCATGATGACTCATAAATCGATATTGTTAGTTAGAGGAAAATAAAACACGTTGAATTAATTTTTGAAAGTATGAGGTCTACTTGAAAGAGCTCTCAAGTTAAATTGAAAGCGGTATTAGTTTGCGAAGGGAAAATTAGCGATTGAAGAAAAATTGGGATTATTCTATACTGTGAAAATAATTAGTTACAATGTTAATAACATCAAATTCAAATAAGTGAGCCATAAATTATCAATTTTTTGATGATATCTCAACGAAGCAAAGAGTGAAGAGAATATCTGACAGCCTTAACCGCGAAAAAAAGAAAATGAGTGCTGCCGACAGTAGAAGCGCTTATATACCATCGTATGACTCAATGAACGCAGTGATCACTCCACAACAAAAACATATCCAGAATGACAATTCAATCAATCGAAAACAAAATATATTTAATATTTACACGAAAATAAACAAGATGTCTCATGAATTTGAACTAAGAATTTGCGTCCCAGAATTTTTGCAAGCTAGGTTTAATAATTAATTTTTTTGTATTTTTAATCCAATGTATATTAAAATTATTTTTACTGAAAAGATCTCATTAAGAAAAACATTTTGAGTACCATCATGTGGATATTCAACGTTCTTAAACGGAGTTCTATTTGGACTAACAAAAAATTAATATTTCATTGATTTGGCGGCCCGAAACGGCCTATTTTTTAACCCAATGCACTCTGAAATAATTTTTGCTGGAAAGATCTCATCAAGAGGAACATTTTCAGTACCAACACGCGTATATTCGACGTACTGAAAGGAAGAAATTCTATTGGGACCACTAAACATTACATTTCATTGATTTGGCGGCCCGAAACGGCCTATTTTTTAACCCAATGCACTCTGAAATAATTTTTGCTGGAAAGATCTCATCAAGAGGAACATTTTCAGTACCAACACGCGTATATTCGACGTACTTAAACGATGAAATTCTATTGGGACCACAAAACATTACATTTAATTGATTTGGTGGCCCGAAACGGCCTATTTTTTAGACCAATTCAGTCTGAAATCATTTTTATTAGAAAGACCTCATCGAGAGGAACATTTTGAGTACCAACACATGTTCAATCAGTTAATGTTTAAGAAGATTATCAGTACGGACCATTAAAAGTTCAATATTTTAAATTTTCCGAGTTTTTTGAAAAAACCAAGCACTTCAATATGTGAAAATTCGTTTTCTCGATAAAATTTGAGTCTCAGGGCAAAAAACCGCATCAAATTTGGATTATTTTGAGTGATTTTAGGGTAAATTAACGAATTCAACTTTAAAGGCGCATAAGTGGTCTCGAAGCGATCGTAGAGCCTTGAAAGTATCAAAAAACATGTTCTCACATGCCCCTCTATCACCCCTGAAATTTTGGTGCAAATCGGAGAATTTTGAATTTTCGACCATTTTCCCCCTATATTTAAATTTTGAATTCCCGCCCTGCCGTTTTCGCTACGGGAGCCCATCGCCCTTTAAGTTTGCCTCTAGCTTATTTCCAGTCATTTTCTCAAGTTTTTAGTTGTTTTTTTAATTTGTCATTACTCGCTGAATTTTTCATCATTTTTCATACTTTTTTTTTCTAATCCACTTAAAAAATTGCGCTCTTTCAATTGAAAATAACCGTAGCTTTAGGCGATTTCGATTTCACATCGAAAAAATTGTTTTTTTTGTATTACTTTAGGCCAAATTTTTCAAAAATTCGCCACACAGTCAATTCTTAACATTTTTCCATACTTTTTTCACAAAAAGATTCTAAAATTTGCGTTCTATCGAATAGAAATAGTAATAAGTCTCGGAAATGACGATATTTTATCGTAAATTATAATTTTCTGTCTAATTTTTAGGAGAAATTTGAAAAATTCGTAATTCTATGAAATTTTCATATTTTTCGATAATTTTTTAACCATTCGATAGAGAATTTTCAGCTCTATCTTTTGATGTTTATTATTATATCACAGTTTGAAAACTACTCGACTAAGAACTACTCATTTTGGTAAAATTGAAATTTTCGTTGCGTCGCCATATTATTTTTGCGATCTGTCTAAATTCGCTAGATTTTTACTCAGACGTAATTCTCGACGTCTCACGATTGCGGAAAATTGGCTGAAAACAAAGAAATTGAGGCAGAGGTCTTGGTGATGGATGCGCCTATAACCTTTTTTATCTGTAGTCAATTTTCCGCAAGCGTGTGACTTCGACGATTTGTATGCAACTTTTTAAGAAAGAAATACTCTGTATTACAGGATGTCGGATAATAATTTTTCGTTCGATGATGGTTCGGTTGTTGATGATTGCCTGTTTTTTGATGGCAGCTTGTCGGCTGACGACTCTCTGTCGATGACCTCGACCGTTCGGCGATTCCACCGCGAAGATCCTGCGACGCCAAACTATCAAGCTAGGGTAATCAAAATATTTTTAGTTTACTTCCAAATATATTTTTTTTGTAGATTGAAATTTTTGAAGAATTTGAATTGATTGGAGTATGCAAGCTTTTTCGTAGCTTCAAATGCACTCGGCACCAGGACCACTACGTGAATCACGTTTTCATCCTGCAGCAAATTGCCAACGAGAAAAGAGTGTGCCGTTTTTTCTGCAAGGCCTGCTACGACACCCCGGCTCAAGATTTCCGACGTTTCCCAGTGAAAATGGCCCGTTTGATGCACAAACTCTATCCGTTCGATACCGTAAGTTGCATTATTTTCCAGATTTTTGACAATCTCGTGTTTTTCAGCGTTACAAGTCAGACTTGTTCCAGGAAATTTGGAAGGATTGTACGATGAACTCGCGATTCAGTAAGTTTTTTTTTTAAGTTGAGACACTATATTGTTATATTGTTTCAGAGATGCCGCTTTTTCGCTGGGAACAACACAAATTTGATGCTGAAGGTGCTTCTGAAGCTGAAGTAGCCCCATTTCATCGCAACATTGCCGCCTACACACAGATCGAAAAGGTAATTACTGTTATTCTAATAGCAAAAATTAACAAACGTTAGTAGATTTTGTGATTCAAATTCGAATTTTTCTAGTGGCACCATGCATATTTCACAAAAAAAAACTCAAAAACCCTTCTAAAAAACCCGTAAAAATTGCTATGCAAATTGCATCTGCACTTGGCTTAGGTTTTTGGAGCGTTTTTGCAATTTGCATAGTGATTTTATAATTTTTTTTGAGTTTTTTTAGTCGAAATTGGCATAACACCATAAACTAAAGTCTTAATTTCTTTCATATAAAAATTGTTAATATTATTTCAGATTTATAAATTTATCGAGTGTTATTCATTTGTCGCCGCTGTGCCAACACCAAACTCTGATATGAAAATGAAATGCGACTCTCATTCTGAAGAAGTCGAGGCTGTTATAGTGTTGAAGGAGAATGTCGTGAACGGAATTGGGGAAAGAGATCGAATGGTTGCCTATCCATTCTGTTTTCTTTGTTTGCACACTAAAGCCTATTCCGTTGACTGGCCGGATAGCTTCTGTGAAGTGATCGCAAAACACTTTCCTTTCAAGGTAAGCGAATCACACAATTTCGTTGTTCATTTAACTAAAATTTAGAACGGCGTGCCGCAGGAGTTTTTCAATTTGTTCGACTCGTATACTGATGAGCTCGAGAGAAAAGGGATGGTATATCCTGATTCTGACGAAACCATCAACACCGGCGAAGATAATTTTGATGTCGATCCACCAGGTTTCGATGATCCCAACGCATTTTGTGACTTGACCTTTTTGCGCAAATTCAAGCCATAATTTTTGATTGTTTCTTTGTTCTGATCCTGTACCATTTTCTACACTTACTTCGAGTTTCCTTCAAGGAAAACTAATTGTTCTGTTTTTGCGTTCTTTTTTCTTTGAATTTTGTCTGGTTTCTTCTGACTTCCAGCCTATGCGGCATTAACGATTTTACTGATTTGTATCATTTTCTACACTTACTTCGAGTTTCCTTCAAGGAAAACAAATTGTTCTGTCTTTGCGTTCATTTTTTCTTTTAAATTTTTCTTTAACGATTTTACTGATTTCACGCATAGAAAAATAAATTTGATTAAATATTTTTTTTGATTAAATATTATTTTTTTTGTCAAACTTCTGATTTAGAAGCAAGAGCTTATGTCTCTTGTTAAAAATTATTCTGCAGGCAACTCAGCCCAAATTTTCAATATTTCTATCGCAGATAAATGTAATTTTATCAGAAAAAAAAGCAAGTGTACAGAACATCCAGAAGTTTTTTTTCAACAATTCAAGATAGAATGCAATATTTCATATCGTTTAGAAATTTTTTAGTGCGTCCCAAACGAGTTAATCGAATTTATTTGCATTGATTTGCGGTCATTTCATATGCTATTCGCTATTTTATAGGAAACTTATATTATTATTATATCTTCAAACGTACCCCAACGATTTTACCGATTCAATTAAATGGTTTGGTCGATTGAACAACAGAAAAACGCGAATATTTTTATCGCGATTTTCACCGGTCTTTAATGACGTTTTATACTCTCTTCCCGCAACACAATATTTCCCTCCGTATTCGTCTTCAATTCCATTTTCGGTGTCAAAAACCAGATCATTTCTCAATCAGTTAACGCATCTCACCGTGCATGTTATTTGGGGTGGCGTTTGGCCACCCCAAACCACCGTAGGTTCGTTTGAAACTTTTATTCGATATTCGATTCTAATTATTGAATTTTCAGGTTATGGGCTAGTATGGCGACAAAATTGAAAGGAGTGTTACATGTAAGTTTTAATATAAAATATTATCATTTTTCTTTAAACTTTTCTGAAAAACATAAAATTTCACAAAAATAATATATTTTTTGGAAATGTTTTGAAATCAAAGCGAAACTTTGAAAATGAACGATTTATAATTGTTTAGATAAAAGAACGAAGCTAGCAAGCTAGCCAATAACGGAGAGAAGCTGAATTATTCCAGTGAGTCATTTTTATCTCAAAACAAAATTTTCTAGAGGTTTCAACAAATAAAAATTAAATGTTTTTTTTTAATTTATTAATTTGACAATTGACTAAGATTTATTTATAAGATGTTTAAACACATTATTCACCAAAGATTAACTATTTTTCAGTCGTGAGAACAGAAGACTGGGTCACCAAAAGGTGTAGTAGGCAAAAAAGGGATTTGTGAAGAAATAGGACTTCACATATCAACATGGAGGTTTGTTTAATTTGCATTATTTTAATTATTTGTGGAAATGAAACGTATAGGATAAAGCTATAATTCTAATCCATTTTTTTTTTGGAATTCTATATTTCTACTAGCTTGGTACCAAAATAAATGTCATAATTTCCATAAGCCCTCGAATTTAATAGTTAAAAAAATATTTCTAGATGAATCTCATATTGGAAGAATGCGATGACGGTAGTGCTTCAGTTGACTGTTCAATCAAAAAATACCACTTATTAAATTCCATTGTATGGAATTATTATGGGTGGAATATAACACCGTGAAAGGGGTTTTAGAAGTCTGTTGACTACATAAAGGCTTCAAAATATCGGAAAGAATCTGAATTCGTTAATAAACGAAACTAAATCACAATGAAAACATTGTTCCCAGTATTGGGTTGGAATTGTATTATTCTGTTAGATAGGCTATTGAGACTATAAAAATTGAAGGTAATGATTTAAAGAATATCTGAAAATAACAAAATAAAAATTTCAGATCATCATAATCGTTTGAATTGCGAGAAAATTGTGAGACATCCGTCACTGGTAATCACAAACCATGGCTTGTCTCTCAAGTTTTCAAACCACAATGGCGATATTATTCCCATTATTGGGTAGGAATAGTAATATTCCATATTTTTAGTTAGGCTCTTATGCCTAAATCTAAAACTCTCTTATTCCAAATTTAAGGTAATTCCTTAAATTAGTATCTACATTTAACAAAACTTTTCTTTTCAGTTTTTGCGTCAATCTCAATAGGAGGCACAAACTATTGGTTATCTTACATTTTGAAGAACCATTGGATTGTTGGAAAAAATTAAAGGTTAGTTTCCAGTCATTTAATAATAATGATAATTACAAAGTGAGAAATATTTCAGAATGAAATTCTCTATGAATCAATCCAAAACTAACAGGGTCATCGTTGCATATTTGGAATATTGTAATCAGCAGGGGGCGATGTAAAAATTAAAAGGACCACAAGCTTCTATCAGAAAGAAAGTTAATTTCTTTGTAGGTTTTGCATCGTCCTTTTTGTTTTTCTATTTTTGCATTATACGAAATAAAATTTGTTAAACAATTTTTGATCAGAGTAATTCTGTTTCGTCAGAAGTCGGATTCCAACGAAGAAGTATTCTCACCATTTTGGGCCGCTCATATAGCTAACCATTCACATGATATTCCCATTATTTTTCAACTATGAAAATTGTCGGTTTTTGGGCGAAAGAAACGGACAAAAAACAATACAAAATACCAAATCATAAGCTTCTACGGAGAATAGGAAACACAATTTTTTGTACGTACTGCATCGTTTTCAATGTCTTTGAAAATTAACTTTCCGATACAACAACGAAAATAACGTACAATTGGTTTTATATATATATATATATAATTTTAAAAAACAAAAAAGGTGTAAAATATCTGAAAATCACTAATGTAAGTGAATACTTGTCCTCCATCAGATGATATACCGATTAGATCAACAATATCTAAAAAAAAAACGCATTGTCAGTTGATTCTCTTCCACGTAAATTACTAAACAATAATCGCAGTGTGATATTAAGAATAATGAATATTTTTCATTATGAAAATAATTATTATAAAAGGAAAAAAAATGGCTTTTTAAAAAACTTTTCTCAAAAGATCAAACAAAGAAAAATATCATCTCCGAACGGAAAACATTGGAGGTCTATCATAATTAGTCAACTATAGTGAGAAATGATAAAAGAAAAAATCGTGACCAAGAACTCACAATGCAAGTCCGCTCTAATAGCAAGCGCGCTACGGTAAAACAGCGTCGATCAGGAAAGGGCGTCACTGTCTGTGATCAGAGAGTGTGCTAACCTAAGAGAATCTGCGATGACTTGGCATAGATTTACAGTTCGCTTCGCCAAATGCGCTCCATTGCAAGTTTCGCACCGACTCCAGTGGCACTATAAATAGCCGGCGGAATTGCAATTTGGTCATTCTCGCAGCTCTCCGAGTTGCGAGCAGCCCACATATCATGCGGACTCGTCGTGCCCCGCATAACCTGCGGGCTCCGCGTCGTGCCCGGCATATCATGCGGACCCGCCGTGCCCCGCATAACCTGCGGGCTCCTCGTCGTGGTTCGCATATTCTGTGGGCTGGCCGTTACCCGCATTTCCTGCGGGCTCGCCGTGGCCACGGATTCACTCGGTATGTCAAAATTCTTTGCAATCCTTTTTCTTAACTCTTTGAATTACAGATCCGATGAGCCACAAGTCGTTCCTCATTCGAGCTTTTTGGATGTGATGTGTTGAAAGTGTCGGGGATTCTCGACTGGTGCGGCTCCGTTAGCCAGTACTAACCCTACTGCAGTGCCGCGTCCAGGCTGACGTTAAACCCACATTCATGAGTAGACATGTCACGTGAAGATGAGCAAGAAAGAGGAAAGGCGAAAGGTCGATGCTGCCCGGGGCATCGAGTAGAGCGAGGAAGCGGAATCTAATGGTAAGATAGGTGCCACTATCTATCAGAAAAAATAGAATCATTGCAGGAATTTTGAATCGAAAGAATCTGCTCGGAGGCGTTGTCTTGAACGCACGAAGAGGAAGGGTAACAACGTCGGGTATTTGGTAATTTTTGGTAATTTTTTAATTATTATTTTTAATTAACTTTTTTTTTCTTTTTTAAAACTTATTTTTCATTTCACTTACTCAAGTCGTACCACTTACGGCTTTCTCTTCTATATCCCACCACTTGGGATACCCTTTTCTCTCCGTACATTCGTACCACTTACGTCTGTACTTCCTTCCGGTCCTACCGTTTGGGACCATCTCTTCTTCTTTTTCTGGGAATGCCGGCTTCCCTATCCTTTTCTTCCCACCAGTCGTACCACTTGCGACTGTCCCTTCTCTCTATCAGTCGACTGATTCCCCCTTCTTCCTGCCGTACCACTTGCGGCTTCCCCTTCTCTATCCCACCACTTGGGATTCTCTATCTCTCTCTCTCTCTCTCTCTCGGTCCTACCGTTTGGGACATCGGCGATGACCCACATCAGGTTTCGGCCTGATGCTGGTGAGCCTCTCCTTCAAGTACCGAGCCTCTACGTGGCGAAGGAGATCAACTGGCTCGGCCTTTTTTAGGCAAAGTCAGGCTAATCGGTACACCGTCACACAGGTTGAAGATTTTAATCCTCTTCTGTGGGGCTTCTCAACGACATAGCAAGTAGCAAGAAGTATTTAGGGACAACTCCTATTTTAAATGAAATTTCCGATCAACAATCTTTCTTGATAATCTGATTGATTCTTGTTTTTATCGTTGAATGGTTAGACATATATTCCGCTTCTGTGAGAAATTGTGACGTTAACTGATACTCGTAGTATTTATCGAGAGTCACGTGATCTCACACTTTAAAAAACGGCTGGATTACTAGAAAAAATAAAGGTTAGTTTTGTCTTATTTAACAAATTACAAAGTGGGAATATTTCAGAATGCAATTCTCTTTGCATCAATCAAAAAATATCTGGATCTTCGTTGCATATTTGCGATATTGTAATCAGTGGACGATGCAAAAATGAAAAAGGACCACAGACTTCTACCGAGAGAAATGG